CGGAAGGGAGCGACACCTCCAAATACAGAAAACCTTCCTCAATCAAGCCAATACACGCAACCTTTGTTCGATCAGACAAGGTTTAATCGAGTTTCGGGGCGACTGGAGGGTCGCGGTTTGCACGCTCTGGGATCGGTTATTTCTTGTCTGAAAACTTAAAAAGTACCAAGGCGACAGGCGTGTGTTTTATTTTCCTTTCTTACGGCCAGTTGATGTATACAACGTCACCTCGTACTGCCTGTGCTTGCACTTATGTGTTTCACCAATGCACTCACTTTCGGCACTTATTATGAGAGCGCAACCCGAATAACGATTGCCATGCTCTGATCTGGCTCCCGCGTTGGTCCAGCACATTTACCATGCGGCCCGTTTAGGGAGTAGTCATGATAGGTAATAGTTAGTTCCAGCATAAAAAGGCAACTCAATCGTACAACGGTGCAGAGTGAATATACATGTTGGCTGTCTGATGAATTAATAATAAAAGTTACAAAAGCAAAGAAAGGATACCTGGGTTTCTGTTCCCTGCATATCTATGCTAAGAATCAAGTCGTCAACGGACTTCACATAAATGACTGTGTCCATCAAGAAAATAATACCCATATCAACTTTTTGTGAACTAGTCATCATAGGTTTACGAAACCCTTCGATTACGAAGCAAGAATCCGAAAGTAATTGGATGCGCAATTTTGGCAGATCACATCTTTAGGAAAACAGACCACCAACCTCACAACAACGACATAAATAAAGGGAGCTCATTACATCGGCAATAGGATTCAACAGGCCACGGTATTAAGATAGAAAATGTGATTGTAACAAAAAAAGTGCTGGCCTGTGGCTGAGAAAATTCCTCAAGAATTGGTTTTCGGTTGAGAATTTGAAATCCTTGTTGTTGCAGCGGTGAAGGGAATGCAAACCAGAAGTAGAATTTGTGATGTTTAAGGTCCTGCACGCATGATCATGTGAAAAAACGTAGGTTAGATGCAGCGATCCTGGCAACAACAAAATATTTCATGAGAAAGGGAAGTTTCGACAGAGAGGTTGGGAAGTCGCAGAGTAGAAAAGGAGGGTGGGTGCGACTGACCCCAGACCACTTTCAAATCTCTACATCAACAAAAAAGATGAC